GGCATTGGGGGTCTATAGCCAAATATGAACAAGCAAAAAAATATTAAATGAACTTGACAATTAATTTCTACATGATACAGAGCAACAAATTGTATGAATTACAAATCCACTTCTCTTCTTTCGTATCTGTGGTTCACTCTTAGGATCAGTCAGTGGCTAGGCTGGTGCACAACTGCACACAACTGATACACTACTGCACTGGTCCCCTGAAGAAAGGGAACATCAATAAGGATTTATGGATATTGGCAAAGAATAAAACAAATTGTATTCCATGCTTATTTCCTCCATTGTACCACACAAATTTTACTGTATACCAATTACATAACACTTAATTTTATGTTTCTTGCAGTTAGGGATCCCCTTTTCACTCTCTGCATCTGGGCATCCCAGAACATAGCTATGCAACAGCTTAGAATGTTTAGAAAAAGTGAAAAAAACTTATAATATTTTAACAAAAATATTTTATTGGAGAGAAGAGGAGTGAATTTGTAAATTTTATTATTATTATTATTATTATTATTATTATTATTATTATTATTATTATTATTATTATTATTAGTATTAGTATTAGTATTAGTATTAGTATTATCATCATCATTTGTTTTTTCATGTGGCTTTATATCATGAAAAATATTCCCCCTAATATGTACTGGAGAAATATTTTGTCTGTTTAAAAATTCTCAACATATTGGAATAATTGCACAACAATGAAGATGAACTAGAAACTCAGCTACTCAGAAGTGGAAGCATCTTCATTTATTAAGAATCTTGATGTTTATCAATACAAAATTGTTATCTTTAAGACATTTATGTGCAATTCTTTGGGTTATAATTATGTATATTATAAATAATCAAGTAAGGGGGTTGATGGAGCCAACAATTTTTATAAAAGGGATAGATGAACAAAAAAAGTTGGATATCCCTGGCTTACAAAAATGGCTACTTTAAGAAAATAGATACTTACATTAAAGCAAAATAAGTATGGGAGCTCTGAACTACTTACTAACTGAAGAACTGCACTTCACTCAAATAATCTACATAACAATCTATAATATCTGATATTATAAGACATTTGTTAAATAAATAAATCTAATCAAAGATACTACATTCAAGAAATGGAAGGGAGTCCTGCTCCCATCAACTCTACTGAAAATTAAGCTGTGGCAATGTATAACTTCTAATAAAATCACCAACCTCTTGAACTTGACCATCAGAACCAAGAACAAAACAATTTTTGTTTTTTTCTTCAGAAGAAGACATCTGAGAAGCATGAACTGGAGATGTTATTTGAACATCAATGTTCACATTGTCCAAAGGATTTTCTACATGAAGCAAGGATTCTTTAATGTCCGCTTCACAAGACAAAGGTTCCATTTCTGTTCTTTTAATTAGTAAGTCTTTTATTGAATTATTAAACCCATCTAATTGAGGATTTTCTTGATATTCTTTATTTTCTATAAAGGTAAGAGAATTTTTATTATTGGCTTGAATGGAAATAGGACAGTCAATTTCTTTATGCCCAGTAGAATTCTCACGTTTATGGGAAATTGTGCTTAAAGGATTAACACAGATATATCGGCTTAAGATAGTTGTTGGAATGATTCTTTCCATAAAAATATCCTCAGAGAAGACCCTGTTTTCTTTATTTTTTACAGGGAAAAATGATCTTGTTATATGAACAGTACACACTACATTAATATTTTCCAAATTACTGTTATCAACATAATTGAAGTTGTGTACACGAGGACCTTGATGTGTGTTTCTATTTTCTGAAAATACATTGAGGTCCGACTGTAGATTGTCATGCTGCAACATTGAATCACTTCCTAGAATTCTTCTAGGCATTGAATTATTATTTCCAGAATTGTCCCAAAAAACACTTCCTGAACATTGTGAAAGTATTTTGTGATCATTTTCATTACATGTAGTACTCTGTAATTGATCTTTCTCACCTAAATTCTCTTCTACAGATTCATACAAATTTTCACACTTCTTGGAAATCAAGTGCCTCTTATTTGAAAGAGGCAACACGAGAAAATTGTTTCGACAGTTATAGTTATATATCTGCACAGTATTAATGTAGTCTTCATTCTGGTAATCATTCTGTGTATCTGAATCGGTTCCCCAGTTTTCAGAATCAGAACATTGTGAAAGTTTGACCCAGTCCTTAGAACATAATGATACTCCTTTTTCACAAAGACTTTCAGAATTATCTGCCTTATCAAATTTCTTGCTCATTCTAATGTTGGACAACACAGCAGATAAATAAAATGATGTTTATTCAATGTTGTAACACATGTTCTCACTGAACATATAGAAGAGAACTCTATAACTAGAACCTTCATAATGAAGAATGCATCAGCTCCTGAAGACCTTAACCAGACACCATCAAATTAATTGATATGGTTTCAGGGAAATACATTCTTTACTAGGAACAGCTGTAAAAGATGAAAAATTGTCACTGTACTCATTTTTTAAATATTCAAATTGTAATTTAATAACCTAATCTCTCCTTTGCATTATTACCACAACATGATACATCTGTCCTAAGTTAATGAAATCAATTAATAAGGTTGAAAATAACTACCAAATGTTGCCTATGAAATAATTTCAGCCACAGGAGGCCATGACAGATACACATTTGTAATTCATTGTTGAACATTATTTGAAGAGTTTATGCAACACCCTCTGTAGAGGTGGTTGATTTATGCATTTTCCCATGCAGCAAAGAAAGCTTTGAAATAATTATTTTCCAATTTCCATATAATATGTCATTTTAATGATTCCATTATAATATAAAATTAAGACAATGTTATTTTTTCTTTATTACTTTCTCACCTTACTACACTTATTACTTTCTCACCTTGTAAACGTGCAGCGTATATCGGTGATTTTCCCACAGAAAATTTCATTTTGTCAGGCCCTGGGTTATTGAGTATGAAGAAAGTATTGCGGGGGGAAAAACGGCGAATTTTCGACAAAAAACTCTTATTGCTGAGCCCTGTACGAAAACGTGAATAAATATTGGTCCTGCATATAGTAAATTACTTCCTCTAACAAAGGGTTTATCCCTGAACTAGGCTGTTTCACTAATATTCAAATTCTTCGTGAAGCAGTCAATGACATCAAAAAAACATAGTGGTGTAGGTGTTGTACTAGATATATCGAAAGCATTTGACACTGTTTCTCACGCGGCGATTCGGTGGGCTCTCTCCAGGAAAGGGATCCCTTACCAATTTGATAATGGACTCTAACGCCGGTGTTTCCACCGTCATTCAGCACCCCTCGAAAGGAATTGAGGTGCCAATTCGTAGAGGAGTAAAACAGGGGGATCCCTTTTCCCCACTCCTTTTTACTCTCATCATGGAGTGCCTATGTCAGGATATACGATATCGAGGAGTGTCCGTGTTAGCATTTGCTGACGATCTGGTGCTGTTGGCAAAAGATGCCCCGGGAGCTCAAGAATTGGTTGATATTGTGGTTGAATATCTTGGCGCCCTCAGAATGACATTGTCCGTCACGAAAGGTTCATCAATTCAAATTACAACTTTTGAACGGTCCTAGTTCATTGAGCATTGAGGATCCCTGTCTGGAAAGGTTGGGGGAGAGAATTCCCCTTGCCAGCAATGATCATTCTCTTACATACCTGGGAGTAAACTACTCTATCTGGAATGGCTTCCCATCTAAAGCATTCATATCACATTTGACGGAAGCAGTGTCGAGGCTTCAAAATACGTATTTAAAGCTCACTCAGAAGTTGACATTACTTCATACCTACATAATGCCACATTACCTTTATCAATTGGTTCTATCCATGCCATCAATGTCGATGCTGGGGGAGCGGACGGTCAAATCAGAGTGGTAGTCAAACAGTTCCTACATCTGCATATGACTTTTTCTATCAGGCCAAGAGAGATGGAGGACATGGATTGCTGCGGCTCGCCCAGCACATTCTTAGATTTGCGCTGAACCTAGGATTAACATTAGAAAAACCTGCAGGTTCTGTTTGCAGATGGTTGAGCTCCTGTCCGAGTTTTTACCAATGGACACTAAAGACCGCAAAATCACTGAGACTCAACAGGCCCTATTCTGAACAAGTTTTAAGGGCTTATAAGAAGAAATGCACCGATGATGAGGTAGCTGCCTGGGAGAAGCTGGGATCCAAAAGAGAGCGGTTAGGGAGCATATAAACGATCCGATGGGAAATGCCTTTTTGAAAGATTATCATCTAAAAACTGGTCTTTTTATTGCTGCACTCCAATTGAGATCAAATACCGCTGCCAATAAAACTACTCTTAGTAGAGGAAGGCCCAGAAATGATGTATACTGCAGGAAGTGCAATACATCGGTAGAAATCATGAATCACATCCTCGGTAAATGCATTTTTACGAAGTTAGCAAGAATAAAGCGTCATGACGAGATCAAAAACTTCAATCGTAGTGCCACGAAAGCCACTTTCTCCGTTGCCGAAGGGGTTAGACTCAAACCTGTCCTGGTAATAAAAAGCCGGGAAACCACGTGGTCGATGTGACTGTCCGCCACGAGGATGGGTCTAGCCTTCTGAAAGCAGGGGAGGAAAAAGTCACCAACCAGTCATCCCCCTGGTAGTCCAACTTCATGGAGTACCCAACGCCAGAATTCTGCCAGTGGTGGTTGGAACCTCTGGGGCTATGCCAAGATTCACAGACAGTGCCCTCAAGACCCTGGGGATCACGTCTCGAGGCGATCTACAATCTCGTTAATTACACTCAGAAGCTCTATTAAACTTAACATACAATTTGTACATTACGGTGGAGAAGTTTAGCATTGCTGGTAGTAAATTCTGGAAAGAAACTTCAATGTCCTGTGGGAAAGTCTTGGGGACCCATGGATCCTAAAACGCCTAGGAATTACTCAGTTACCATGACTTTAAGTGGGAAGTGTATGCTAATATAGCATATAGAAAATTGTGTAGTCGGAATTCATGGTTTGTGGATCCTTAATACCAAATTAGTGGTGCTACAGAATAGCACACACTTTCCAGTATTAGTTTCATATTTCCTTTGGTTTCGGCTAGCTACTCGGACTTGCCACATATTCTTACCAGTTACCATCTATCGCCGCCCATATTTTTGATTTGATTTTGATTTACATATTTTTGACGTTTATTTAATTTTTTCGGTTTTTCTAATTGTTGAGCGTGAATATTATTTTAAGATTATTGAAGAACAGTAAAACTTTGACATGAACTGCAATTTTCTTAGAAAAAATTGGAGCCGTTTTTAAGAAAATGGTGTTTAATCGTTATTGTAAATACGGATTTTGAAGCTCTTTTCACAGAAAACTATTGAGTTTTCGAAAAACCGCATCCGAAGTCATTTCAAGCACTTCTAGTCTCAAATGCAATAGTGTTTAGAAATCGCTGGAAATGTGTATATTAAAGACGTGAAGATGTTTTAGAAAATAAGGCATTTCTGTATTTGTTTTCAAAAATCAAAAGAATACAGCAAAATGAACTTTAGTTCATTATAAACAATGCAATTACCACTATCCGTAAAAAAAGTTTGAAGAAACATTTGGAGCTATTTTTGAGGAAATGGCGTTTGACCGTTTCTGCGAAATTTTGAACTCATTTTAGCAGACAACTGTTGCGTTTTCAAGAAACATTATATGACATTACTTAAAGCACATGTACTCATATATAATAATGTGGATAAATTGCTGCTAGTGAAAATATTATCGTGAGAGGCAAGTAAAAAATTACTTTTGTGTAATTTTTAAAAATACAATAGAGCATTATGACATTTATGACATCTCATTGAGTGCATCTAGCACTGTACCTATCAAACGTTTTAAGAAAGAATTTGGAGTCGTTTTTGAGATTTTGTGTGTTTTTTAAATTGCACGTATTACTCGCAATATTGCGCGAAAACGTCTAAAATTTTCAAAAAAAAATGTACATGACTCAATAAAGGAACAAATTATGGACAACAAATTTAATTTGAAGGAAAAAATCTCTATCTTTAATTTTGTAGTTATAGGAAGATCCCGAAAAAAATTCAAACTTTTGAAATTCTCGAAAATTTAGTTAACCTTGAAAATCGGACCTAAGCCACATTTATGTATATTTTACTGTATTCTTACCAGAAATTTAAAGAAAAAATTGGTTTTGAGAAAATTTTGAAAATGTCCAGGGGCTTCGTGTAAAGTATCTCCAAAAACTAATGATTTTCAAAATCGGTGAGCTTCGACTGTGCCAAATAGACGTGGGTTTCTTCAAATTGAAAGAACACCCGAAGCATGGTTTAGGCGTTAGTGTTGTTCACATACACCAGACGATCGGACGGACGTTTTGAAAAAAAAAAAAGAAAAAAAAAACACTTTTTCGGTATCAGGGGACCCCAAAACGTATATTTCCGTAGAAATCTCGAAATTGATTTTTCGCAGCATTACATAACTTTCCATATAGTACGTCTTTTACTCCGCATATACGTACGAGAAAGTAAAAATCGACAAAACGTGTTTGTCCGTTTGTCTCCCTGAACAATGCTAGCGGCTAAACCGTAAGCAGGATTTTCACCAAAATGGTTATTCCCAAATCGATCTGGTTGATATTGCGGCCCCTTGAATTTGAAAGCGATTAAAAGTGTATGAGTAATACTTCTATCACGTCTAAATGTAAACTTATAAGAAATAAAATTTAAAATGTCAAAAAGACTGGTATTATGTATATAGTATATGTTCTATATACATTAATTTAAATTATATTTATTATAAAACATATTTAAAATTATAAATCTACAAATTAATAAACAAAAAATAATAAACTTATATTACATTAATCAATTTGCGGTACCTAAAATTTTAAAAATCAAGCACTGCCTATATGTATAGTAGTAGTAAAGTATATATGTAATAGTAGTCAATCATTTCCTTTAAACACGTTATGCAGACAGAATCCAGTTTTGTGTCCTTCGTACGGAATTGAAGGCAAAACGTCTGCCTCAGTTCACACGACTTCCTCCAAAATTCATTTCCACTGAACGAACTCGAGGCACTCTTATTTTGAAACGGTAAACGTTTGAATCGGTTTTAGTTTCGAAGGGTACTTTTCATGAAGCCTCAACTTTTTCAATATTTCTCGAAACTAGCTCCATTTTTAAAAAAATATATTTAACATTGGATGGCATAAAGAACGGTTAACAGAATGGTGCAAATCAAATTTTCGATGAAATCCCTGATTTTTCGAAATTTTCATAAGTTTAAAATTTGTTCGGCCTATTCCTATGACAAAAACATACAAGGCAATGACTTTTATGTAAAAGAAATCTGTTGCATCAATAAAGATCTTGAAATAATGCCAAGTACAAAATTTCGAAAATGAGTTGTTTCCGCGTAATTTTACTGAGAAAAAAGACAACAATGTTTACTTTTCCGTATACATACGTATATAGGAAGTTTTATACGTAGAATAGGGACAGTTATGTAATGCGGAATTTTTTTTCTCGAGATTTCAACGAAAATACACGTTTTGGGGTCCCCTGATGTCGAAAAAGTGTTGGTTTCTTTTCCCTTCTTTTTGAAACGTCCGTCCGTCTATCTGGTATTTGAGAACAACACTGACGCCTAAACCATGCGTAGATTATTTTTTCCATTGCGAAGAAACCCTTGTTGATATAACCTGAGTCAAAGTTCTGCGAATTTCAATAGCATCCATTAATTTTTGGGCGTACTTTACATGAAGCCCCCTGTCAATTTCAAAATTGTCTCATATAGGGAACAATATACGTCGTATAAGTATTGCTACGGAAAATCGATTTCGAGATTTCAACAGAAATACAGGTTTTGATGTCCTCTGATACCGAAAAAGTGATTATTTTCAAAACGTCCGTCTGTGAACACCACTAGCGCTTAAACCATGCGAGGATTTTTTCAAAATTAAAGACACTCCTACCCATCTGGCTCGAGCAGAAGCTTTGAGATTTTGAAAAACATTCTTTAAAATCTGGGGCTACTTTATTTTAAGTCCCCGGACATCAATTTTTTTCAAACACGGCTCCAATTTTTTTCTTTAATTTTCTTGTAAATACATCGAGTAAAAAAACATCTATTAAGGTGGCATAGGCCCAAACATCACTATTAACTCGGAATTTTCGAAAATTTGACTTGATTATTCCTTCAAATGAAATTTGTTGTTCATAATCCGTACTTTCAATAAGATCATGTACATTTTTTTTATTGAAAATTTTCGCAGTTTTTGGGCAATATTGCGAGCATAGTGTACAAGTTTAAAAAATTACAAAAATATTTTCTCAAAAACGGTCCCAAATTTTTTCTTTGAACTTTGGGTACAGATAGTGCCAAACGCATCCTATACGATGACATAAACGTCATATTGCTCGATACTTATGTTTTTTCAAAAATAAAAAAAATTACTTGTTCCTCACATTAATATTTACATTAGCGGTAATTTTTTACATTGTATTTATGAGTATACGTGCTTTAAATGTCATAAAGTTTATCGAAATATCGAGCGTTCTCCTCCAAACTAGTTAAAAATGCGGAATTTTTAGCTAAACGCTTAACTATTTTCTCAACGGAATCCAAATTTTTATTACTTTAGTAGCTTCCAAATTTAAAGAATGCTTTTCAAGATCTCAAAACTTCGACTCAAACCCGATGGAGAACGATTACTTCTATTTAGAAAAAATCCTGTTCAGCTGCTGGTGTTCACAGACGGACGTTTTGCCGTCAATTTGTTTTTCGATATCAAGAACCCAGAAAACGGAGATTCTGGTTACACCACATGTTAGAGAATTTTTTCCTAATTTGGCAACTGGATTTATCCACTTTTTCGTTATCGGGGCTCAGCAACTACTTTTTTCTGTAGAAAATCCGCAATATTTTTCGCGAATTATATAAATTTCCCTATATTGCATGTATTACTCCATATAACGTATACGATAAAGTAAAAAATCTGTGCTGGTTCTATTGTCGGCCAACTCTGTAATTTCAAAAAAATTAGCACTACAAAAATTCAATACCAAAGATGGAGATTTTTGTTTTCAGTGAAATGTACTAAGAATCTGATTTTAAGAAAGCCTATGCTCAATTTATTTAATAAATGATTGCTTTTACCTTGTTTGAAATTAATTTATTTTGAAGTGATCAAAATCCGCTACATTTTTTCTACTCCATAGAGCAATGAAAGCTTTAAAAAATGTGACAGTTCACATTTTGTTGAACTGTAGTTTTTAAAAATTGCATAAGTTGCATATAATGGGAAATACCTACATTTTGTCGGGAAAAAACAGTACTTTCCTCCGAGCGACTGTGGTGTGGCCTGCTTATGTTCACTCGAAGGACATTAGTTCCAATGTTTCAGAGACATGATTTTTGCTGATTAGGAAACTCTTTTGTGAATTCATGTAACATAGGTGGAAGATTTCTCAAAATTTACACAAATGTAGGTTTTGGGAAATATATCTCGTATTGTTACGTTGCGTTATATTACGAGTGATTTTTACATTACATTGCGAGTGATCATTTCATTTGAAATGATCACTCGTTGAAATGATCATTCATTTCGTGTCATTTTTGAACATTCAAGTACGAGTGCTTTAAATGGTCTCAAACTCACGATTTCTGTGAAAAATGATTTCAAAATTGCAGTTTCGGAAACCTTAAAGGACATTATTTTAATTGATCGATTACCTTTCCGGGCGCGTCAACTGACGTCATTAGTCCCGTAAATGTTGAAAATGTTTTACCTCGAAAAGAGGGCTTCCCAGGATGGCGAGATCCTGAGCCGATACGCGTCAGCTCGCGGGATTTACCCTACCCAGGTATCTCCCACCAACTGGACAAGATCCATGTGTAATAGCGTAGTGTATACAAGTGTAAGGAGTTGAGGTTGCGAGTCGAAAATCCTGCCACCATGGGGATCTCACAGTCAGAGGCATTGCAGTTACATTAAATGATGTTATGAGCAACTTAGGCTGAACATTTTCTCAAGAAAAACACAAACTTTTTCCATGAAACGTTAAAAATAGATCCATGTTTCACTCTTCTATAATATTCTTAAGGTCATATTACTATTCAACTGAGAGAATTAAGCTTAGAAATGGAGCGTACTTAAATACACTCCTATTTGCTGATGATCAAATTTTAATCCAAGAAAGTCGGGATGACTTACAGAGGTCTATCCATCAATTAAACCAAACTTGCAAAGGATATAATCTAAATATTTCAAAAACGAAGACCAAAACGATGGCATTTGTGGGAAAGCATCCTATATGCACCAAAATAATTTTGGAAAATTCGATGCTGGAATAAGTTAAGCCTTTGAAATATTTGGGCTACAACATAACATTCCTCACAGAAATGGATATATATGAAAAAATTCATAAATACCAGAATATATGCGGAAATATTGCGTACTCTTAATGATAAAACACGCAGGGATACTTTAATGAGGATATATAAAGTAATGGCTGTCCCGTCTCTGTTGTTCAGAAGTGAATGCTGGACTGTAAGGGAAAAGATAAAAAGACGTTACAGTCTGCTGAAATGAAATTATTGTGATCTGTAAAAAAAATGTACCAGACTAGATAAACTCAGAAATGAGGAAATTCGAAAAGAATTAAATGTCCAAGCAATCAATGACAAGGTACAATGTTACAGAGAGGAGGAAAGAATGGAAGAGACTCGCATTCCAAAGCAGGTGTTTAGGTATAGGTCTCAAGGCAGAAGAGATCCAGAAAGACCCCTAAAAAGATGGAATTCTTAGAAGCCAGAACAGGTCATAAGACCTATCCTTGAAGTGGAGAAGAAAAAGAACTAATGGGGGAGCGAAAAATTGAAAAAATATCCTTTAGGAGTCAGCGAATAAGAAGGTAGGGTAATTCTGGAAAGCTAGCTTAGATGAAGATTAGAAAACTAGTGCAAAAAAATTCTCCCCATTCTTAATTACTCGTTTTTAATCACTTGCAATTAGCATTTGGCCACAAATGCACGACTAATAACAGAATAGCATATTTTTTCCCCAGCTTAAGACTTTTGAACATTCAGTAGTGTTAATGGTCCTCGATTCCAATCCACTCCAAATATAATACAAACATGAAAGATAAGTTTTGTATTGTTTATAAGCAATCAACACGAAAGTCTGTTCTACATCTAGAGAGGAAATGACATCCCATAGGTGCTTAATCATCTTAAAAACACAGTACTTGCATTATCTTTTTATTTTTCCAATTTTTTGCTGTTGAGGTTTACTCTCTTTTGTATGTATAATTTTCCGATACATTTGGCTCAGGTATTGCTTGACATTCTTTATTTACTTCCCACAATTACATTTAAAATGAATGATTAGAAAAATGGCCTAGAGGCAATTGTGAATGTTTTTCCTTTAATTTAGCATCAAAAAATATTTGCACGTAAAGAAAACCGTTTTGAACATTTGTTTAAGTAAATTTTAGAGCTTTTCGCAATTACTTTAAGTCTTCAAAACTTGCAAGCAAAATACAAATGTTAATTCTCGTCACAAAAACATAATGATGTATAGAATTTTATTTTATTCTTAAGAACTGAAGAAATTGAAAAGAAACTTAAAACACACAATTCAAAACAAAAGGCAAGACCATATATGGGAGCAACACACCGACCAAAACATTCCCCGAAGTACAAACCAAGAGGAACAAAAGAAAAGATGATTTGACAATAGGAACTTAGGAACTGCCCTTAAACAGTTTATGATGATTCTTAAAACTACCTCTTGCAATAGGTTCAATGTCCTGGAAAAATTGATCTGCGTACATCCTGAAGCATAAAAATAAAAAATGAACTTCCCTATCTAAATCCCAGGATTTAAATCTCAACACATTTCAAGGGTCAAAGGTAGGTTACCTAAAAAAACCTGAAATATCTCTCTGCATAACTACAGCAGACTCAATTGCACAGACTGATACGTGGATGATAAACACACCCGTGGTGAAACAAAAATAGTGTTGGAAGTAAAATAGTTTTGGGTTTAGACATTGTATAGTACTTTATATTACTGATCAATACAATATGAACATTGATCTATAAATTATTCCTCACTCTTATACAATCTTGACAGATTAAAGGAGAAATACCTTTCAATCTTATATTTACTTCCGTTTTATATCTGCATGTGCCAATAAGCATACAAACTGAATTTGAGTTCAAGTTCCTTAACCATGAAAAAATTTGGTATATAAAGGTTGAACTGCGTATGTTTATCTAGTCAAAATATTTTAAGGCTACATTTGAATTTGGCAATGACTCCCAACTGAGTTATCATTAGTTCATTTTAGTCAACCACACAATCATGAATGAATCAAAAACTATTTGAATTTATTTCCAAATAGCCTTAACACAGTTTTATTCACAGTTTTCTTACATAAAAGTTTTTACACATTTGTAAAAAATTATAATTCTTGATGTCACACACGCACACACACTGAATCCAAAACTGTCCACAGTCCCAACAAGTGATCCAAGAAGATCAACCTGATGAAGTGTTGAGTGGCAATTTCATTACATTCATCAACTTGTCACACTAAATCCACGTACATTAAGACATACTGAAACAAATGACACAGTTTTAGCTTAAATATAATATTCCTGATGCTACTTCAAGCTGCCAATAAATCAACAATTAACATTATTCTACTAAACTTAAAAGTATTTATCTTCCTCCACTAGCTCTGAAAATCCTTATAAATTTGCAGGCTGAAGTCTAATGTACGGTACAACTTAAGGATGTTTAAACCGGCACTTTGCAACTCTTCGGCGAGGGGGGAAATCCACGATGGAGGGGACAAGAGGTGTTTACGAGGATTATGGAGGAGGGGAAACTTTCAGTTGGGAGGGGTGGGGAGCAATATGCGTAACTTAGTATACATATAAAAAGCAAAGTGTGGGCAGTTTTGCAGGCAAGGCTGCAGCACGCACGCACAGCAGCTTCTCTAAGGGTGTACCGGGTACCCTACTTCAACCAATAAACAAGACACTTCTTCAAGAAATGAACTGGCATTATAAGCCCTCAAGAAACTGAATGCTCAGAAATAATGTATCGTAAATCCAATGGCAAAAATATTGTCAAATAAGCAGAGAAAGAAACAATTACCTTTCTATCAAGGATGCACGCATTGTTGTGGCCACTGCAGATGGTTGAGCTTCATTAAGCTTAAAGACACTTTCAATAACAGCAATCTCTGTCGAAGTGGTATCCATCCCACAAAACGAACACCAGTCATTTACAACCATTCCTGCAGCTACAACTTCTGAGCCACGATTCACTGTACCCGCCTAGCACAAAAAAAATATTAAGTTAAAATACTGAACAATGTTTTCAAAAACAAGTGTAAGACTCCTATCTTTCTCTACTTATGAAATAAAACTTTAATATCAAGAGGGGGAGAAAGAAATGTGCAGTAAGGGTGATATAACTATTGTTTTTTTATTTCGATTCATTGCTGTTAGAAAAGACAATGTCGACCTTTCTTGCGTTTACATATCTAATTACCCAACTCAAAAAATTCAATAGGAAGAAAGCTCACCACAAGAGGAACTTGAAGTAATGATGACAACTCATCTTGATCCTGTATTGGTGTTTTTGGATGAACTAAACCACCTTGATTTGAAAGAACACAATAGGATCCTACTAACACATTTGATGCTACAGTTTGTCTAAACACTTCAACTTTTAAAGTATCTGCCAGAATTTCTTCTGTCTCCTGTAATAAACAGATACATTATTAACACATTAAACATTTACATGTCACCTTAATATTCAAAGTTCAAACATTAACAATTACACAAGTAAGTAAATATTCACAATTCATATTAAACATACCCGGTCCAAATCGGGATGAACTAACGCAACGTAATCATTGCAAGCGATAACATTTCCTAGGGCCGATAATCTTTCCTCAACTCTTTGCACGTGGACACTATCGGGGAGCGAATTTCGTATATGCTGAAGCTCTGTATCAGTAGTAGTACTAGGGACTAGCAGCCCATGACGATTGCCTGAAAACGTCAAAAAGAAGTTATACATGCCAGAACTTTTAAACAAAATAAAAATAGAGAAATTCTCGTTTTACACACCCACGCACATACGGCCAATTATTCTGCATCCAGCAAGTGAAGCGTGAATTACAGGTATAGTTTCTGCCAACTCTGCTTCGAAAGCACTGAAAAATATTTGCCAATGCTCAACAATCGAAAATGTTTGTCAATTACGTAGAGAACGTGAAAAAAAAATTACCTATAGAAATTTTCTGAACCACCTATTGCAACCAAGCAATACGCGTTGGTTAACTTCGAAAACACTCCAACTTCATTGTTGTTTTCAAACTGCACACGGAATGCCATTGTGCCTTGCCTATCGATGCAGTGGAATTACTCTGGATGTCAACAGTACACCTCTGAACCTAATATACCGGTGGATTGCACAAGACCTCCCAACTCATCCAGAACCTAAAAAATAGAAACGCACGCAACACACGCAACTTCCAGCAATGATAACCATTTGTTGACCAACCAGGCACCAGAAGAACTACTACACATAACAATACAGTTCTTGAGTCTCTTCACTCTAAGAAAATTGCTGAAAAAAGTATGTAAAAATTATAGAACACTTTATTTAGATATAATTGAGTTATATACATAATTATATTTGATATTTTAAAAATTGAAATGTTAAAATCTTTCCGCAACAATATTGACGCTATGAAATGTCGTAGAAGCAAACGCTATCTCTCGGCAGCTGTATGTACTGCTACTGTAAAGAGAGATACCACAACTTGCGTAGCACAGAAGTTGTACAGATTTAATTGTTTATGATCTATATACATTTTTATCTTTGTTTTTAATGATAATATTATTTTTCTTTTAAAAGGATATATTTATTTTTTGTTATGTGTGCTGTACATTTAAAATAATTTATTTAATTGCAAAACATTTTGGAATGTTGGTACCAATTAATATTGTCCATGACATGCTGCCAGGGGGTGGGAGGTGAATGTTGGTGGCAGGTTCTGTGCGGGCGTCGGCTTTAATGTTGGGGCTTGTGACCTGTATTTCTGTGTTTTTACAGTATTAATTTATGTTAAATCTTGTTGAATTTCCAATATTTTAACAGTTGATGCTCGAAAAATGATTATATATAATTTATAAGTTTTAATGGTGTAAATAAGAAAATGTGTACAATTGTTGTTTTGTAAGAATTATTCATGTTTGATCAATAATGGCAACGTGTGTACAAGTTGTGAATCCTTCAGTGCTTGTAAAAATTGAAAGGTAGATAATATTTTAATGTATTAAATTTTCCGAGATGCAAACACCCGAGTCCTCCATTACTCTTTCTTTGCGAATCTTTTGTGTATTTGTTTTTATCAGTTGTACTTTTGCCTTCATCTATAGTTTTACTTGTTTATACTCCACGAATTGCATGTCCTAATGCTCTTTGTTGCCGAACGCGTAATGGAATAGATCAATAAATTGGGCTACAGAGCCTTCTATGCTACCAAATTAACATTGTTGCCAACATTGAATAAATAAAGCTTTGACATTTGGTATTGACTTTTATAAGTATGACACGGATGCCTAAATTGTTCCGTTAATTGCATGATAATTAAACGGAAAATACATTCAATTAATTTAAATCGTATTTTTATTCCCTTACCAGCTTTTTTAGTGATCCAGCTTATCGGGAAGCAATTGAAAACTCTGCCAATTACAACACTAGATTATGTATAGAAAGGAGATTGCGTATGCCTTTTTTGGATTCCCAGACAGGTAAAATTAAGACAGCTGTTATTTATCTGCCCTGAGGATTATTACACATTTTCAATTTAATGATTAATGGTTGGCATTCTAGGTGTTGCTCAAAATCATTCAAATCTCTTTATGACACCAAGACAACGCATTCCAGGCCTTGTAGAAGGTCAAATATACACTTACCCATCAAAACGATGGAGGAAGAAACGACGGCAATATTTGATGAATTTCATGCAGCCTCGCCGCAAGGAATTGGATCCTGAGAGTGACATGCATACAATTAGCACTGTGGAGAATCCTGCTGCTTGCAATGAAGACAGTAAGGACAGCGTGGGACTGAAAGACGAGGCTGCTAAGGTGCAGATTGGAATATTAAATTTGTTCATTCTTTGAGTGTGTGTGATGAGATTTTATTTGCTTTATGTAAACATAAGAATGTAAAATGGTTATTGAAATCTTTATGGTAGCAATTAGTAATATGATTTTCAGAATTTAATTTACATGTATTAGACAGTAAAAAGGCTTATGTTTTCGTTAGCTTCTGAAGGCAGGCAGATTACAGAAAGTTATAAAATGATTAGTTTTCGTTACTTTATTAGGAGTCACTTGATCAGCTGCACTGAACTGACATTAAAATTAATCCTTATAAGCAGCATGCGTATTCAGGTATCAGAAAAAGATTCTTACTAGACCAGGTCTCTCCAATTGATCATGCTAAAAAAATATTGCAGCAAGAGAAAGAAAATGAATACTTGCACAAAATAATTATAATACATGTTCAGACACAAATGACATGATTTAAATATAATGCTTCGATTATTTATTTACTTATATATTTTTATTTTATAAATAACTGATTTAATAATTGTAGATTCATGACCATGTGTTATTATTGAAGTAAATTATGGACATTGCAGAATGTGGTAACAGTATAAATTAAAACATCTTATTTTAGTTTGCTGATATTATGGAATATTTTAATTCCACCTTCAGAGCTAATAATATAACAATAACAACACGATTAATACATAAGTGTAAGACACAGCACACAAACACTTGTACATCGTCTTTCTTAGGACAGCTTCAAGAGCTAAGAGTGAGAAACCAGTCGGGAGCTGAGAGGTAGTCCCAACCTCAGGCAGTGCTGTGATGGTGGGAATTTACTGTTTGGAGAAAATCTCACATTGACATGTAGGTCAGTGCTGGATCTCACCATCCATAGGAGTGAGATTACTGTCATGCACTAATCTAACGGGACTAATGAACATAGCTCAGATCTTGTTTAGAAACATAAACAACATATGCAAGAATTATTCAATACTTCATACCATCAAAAAACATTAGTAGCTTATATGACAAGAGTCCATTTTGCACAGCTCCACTGCAGGCCAAAACATGGCAAATCAAAGAAAACAAAATGACGTGAAGGTGTGCAAAAAGAACCTTATGTTGTAGTCCCTGTTGCATACAATGCAAGGCCTCAGAAAACTGTAGCCGTTTGCTTTTTGTGAGTAGCCTCTGAGGAGAATTCGTAGTGTTTGGGCTGACGGAGAGTTCATTTCATTGACTGCATCTTTCTCCAAAGTCTGAAGGAGGAACTAAGATTTGTCACCAGTCTTCTAAAGAAGTTCCTGTGTTCTGTTTGTAAACAGGCAGCAATTTGTAACACTAGTGCACTCATTATTTTTTCTGCAGTTCTGGAAGATTATAGGGCATGCAACTAGCACAAATTAATTGTTCACATATTGAATCTTGTCAATTTAAAAAGTTGGTCATTACTTCTCTCGCATTGAAATTACAAGTTCTGTCTTGTAATAGAATGTAGCAGTATAAATGATTGTGTATTGCAGTTTAAATATGCTTTTTAAATATCATTTATAATAGGCATTGTACCAGTCCAAATCATTTCCAAATGCCTGCAGTATTTTGAATCAAAAGTAGCACTGCACTTAAGAGACCCCAGTTCTGCATCAGTGTTGAGCAGAGATGATGAATGAAAGATTAGTTACAGCAGCCAGAGTCAATAGATTGAGACACTGTGTCACAGTTACCGATGTTCAATGTAGGAAAGTTGCGTCCTGGCATGGTAGAGCCTTTCATGTAGGCAAGCGAATCCCATCCTCCGTAGCATGTGTGATGTTGCCTGGATGTGAGTAGGATGATGCATTTTGAGAAGGACAGGAGAATATCTTCATCCTTCTGTTGAAGGAAAGATCTGGCTTAGCTTACACTTCCGTTTTTTCTTCTAAATTTGAGAGCTTTTGGAAATTTTCTCCCCATAGAGGTTGGGCATCCATGGCTGGAGTTGGTAAACACTTGACGGTCCTGGAAGAATTATGTCCTTGTGGAATAATTAAGAAATAATAGATTCCAACATTATATGTAATAATAATAATAATAAAAATAATAGGTACCAATGTTACCCATTTGTTAGATGTAAATTAATTACAGCTCATGAGAGAGGAAGGCATTCAGTGCACAGATTGTAATGTTATTAATGCAGACCGTATTTACTTATTAATGTTTTATGGAACAAGAAGTTGCTATTATACTTTTTGACATTTGTCCAATTTTTTCGAAATTTATCCTTTCTGGAATCATAGAATGTAGTGGAATACATGCATTGTTTTCGCATGTGTGTCTTTACTTGCTCCAGGGCAGACATTTGGAGAGGCCTGTGCATTGTTGGTGTGTTCATTGCAGTATATGACTATATTGGAATTAGCAACTGCTGACAGATTTCTAATATTTGATTACTTCGTATTTTATTTCAGTTGACTCTTGATTTTAAAGCCACAAAGTTTAAACAAGCAAACCTCAAAATAACTTTACTATAATGTAACAATCCCAATTTATAGTATTAGCTGTGAATCTAAAAGTGCCTATGTGATCTGTCTTTAAAAAAATTAGTTTCTACTTCAAATTTTTTAAAATTAATATTTCTCGTATTTAATTTGGTGAATAATGATTGGTTGGTTTCTAACTATAATTTTTGTTTAGTTTGGTGTTATGCAGGATGCTTGGTATTATGATGAGATTGACATGCAAGAAATGGAAGGATTTGATGAACCGGATCCTGATTCAGATTATGATTATGAAGAATCTTACAAGCGAAAAAAGAAGCCCAAGAAAGTAACCAGAAATAGTGATTCTCCTGCTGCAAAGAAACCAAAGGTATCTTGTCACGTTTGGTTTTGTATGTTGTAACTTATCTTAATTTGGTTTTTTGTCATTGCTAAAATCTCTTCAAGGAAGTTTTGAAATTTGAAGTTACAAAACATATATATTTGCGTTTGTTATATAACTTTGAATTGTTTTGTTTGACCTTGTTTTTAATAGAAAATTGTAATTACCAACAATTTACATAACAATGCAAATATTCATGTCTAGCAATAATGTTGAAACTGTTTCCTGAGCTGATAGGCTGTGGTCCCATTGTGTACCAGATTTTTCGTATGCACCTGTGGCAAACATCCTCAGCCACAGGTGCACATGCTGTAATTCACTACATAGTTTTATGACAAAAATGATTTATTATTTTTATAGGGACCAGGCAGAGGTCGGAAGAAAACAAACTATGATGGGTTAACTGATGCTGAAAAACCCTTTGCTTGTGAACGTAAGTTGGCTGTTTGGTGGCGTGTTTACTGAAGACATGTATCAGAGATGCCAATCAGTAGTTGTCAGAAATCTATTGGCCTTTTTCAAGGAGTCTTCACCCAATTTACATTGAAATTTGAACTAGTTGTACAATTTCAATCTAGTAGTTGTCAGATATTTTTTTTTATATGAGATGAGTATTTCAGAATTAATTTAACTTCACTTTGTAGTATTAAATGATTTTCCATATTTTTTCAAAACAGAATTTTTCAAATTTATTACAAATTTCAAAAAATTACTAAAAATATTTTTCTCTTTTTTATTACTATTCTTCACCTTTATTCATGAACTAAACAAAATATAATTCTTATTATCTAAAGTCTTTTGTATAGAAGTCATTGTATATTATTTGTAAATCATTAGTTTAATTGTTTGTTTTTAATGAAATTAATTTTAATGTTTTAAAAATTGGGTGAATACTTGATTGGATGATTACCTTGATTTTCATTGAACCTGTATTTTTATTGTAGTAGAGAATCTGCAGTTTGTTCTGAGCACATTCAATTGATGTCTATTGCTTGGCATCTAAAGTAAATAGTACCACATAGTAAGTATGTACTGTGTTTCCAATATTCCCATGGGCCTCGGTGATACTTTCAAGGTTTCTGTTCTTCTGTTAGGGTGCTTGGTGCTCTTTTGGCTTTCTTTCTCTGTGCTTGATAGGCAGATGCTAGTTAGATGCTTCCATTGCTTATTGTATGCATTTGCATCTAAGCATTCCATTGGTGATGGGATCTTTCACAGCTTTCTATACTTGTTTCACTTATACCATCCAGACAACCCATATATCTTGCCTTTTGTAAAACGTTTTTAGTTTTGGAGATGTATTCAGCTACAGCAGTGTAAAAAATGTCTAGAAATGAAGGGAGCTCAAAAAATATGTTTTGTTTGAGAATTTTTTGTGTTTTTCGAAGGTTGCTTTGAGATTCAGAAACACTTCCATTATTTAACATAGGTGTTTTATGATATTACGTGCAATTGGACAATTGCTGGTCCTTTGCAAAGTAGTTTTTATCTCGCCAAAACATAACTTGAGTAATTCTGAACAAAATCCTTAATGGAAATGAAATGTATTTGATTATTTTAGGAATCTTAACCAAACTATTTATATGTATAGAATTTGTGTAATACCTTGACATATTGTCTTCATTTTCTAAATTCAAGAGCATGTAATAGGACATTTAATGATTTAATAATAGTAAAAAAAACTAAAAATGTTCCTATTGAATGCATTGAGAAAGTTCTCAAGGGTCATTACGTTTCAATCCTGTGAAGGGAAAATCATTGAATTATTATTTAATACATAATTCAATGGTTTTTAATAACCATTGAATTTTCAGTGTTTTCTTTCCTACCTCATATGAATAAATAGTAAAATAATTCTCTGATTGCCAGTAGTGTTGCGAGTCATTTAATTTTCAATATTTTTGTTTCATTGTCTTGTAGTTCTTACTTAATTATTGCAATAGAGTGATTAAAATCAGAATGGAATTAATGATTTCAATGAGACTAGTGGAAGAGTTTACTTCACAACTGTCTAAATGCTCCAATCAAAATTTTTTGGGATATATTGTAGTTTCTGGAAACAGTTTATATCCTTTTCTTATGTAAGTTCAGAAGTATGTTCAACTCTTTATTAAACCAAAAAAACTTGTGAAGATTTTGTGAAAAATAATTCAATTTCATTGTGGTTCAGGATTTGTATAAAGCGGAACCATGATTTCAGGAAAGCTATTCTGTGAAGCCAGTTCATTTGCTTTGCCAATATTTTAATTGAAGTGTTACGTTTTATAAGGACCTAAGTAGAAAATAATGTTATACCTCAGCTCTAATTGTAAATGAATTTATGTGCCCAGCTTAATAAATTTCAGAAGATTCTGTGGACCATTGAAAGCTACCTTAGTGCCAACAAATTCCAAGAGGTAGCCCTGGTTCTATATTCAGCAACTCATTCAAGGCTCTTTTACTATTTTCCACAAATCTAGTTGTCTTCAATTAGACTCTTATGAAACGAAATGCTTCAATTTTTAGTTTACTCTCTTGTAATTATTACCTTTTTTTTAACCAAACTTCAAGAATTCTCTTTCAATTACTCCTCATTTTTGAGACTCAGAAGAAGAGAAAATGAGAGCTTGCACACCTTATAAATCTGGTAGATTGACTTTCTTTTTGAGATATTGACTCTTTTCTAGAATACTGTTGTAATTAAAAAAATGGGATTGTTAGGTTAACATTTTGTATATTTTTTATGCGGGATGAGTCTTTATTTCTGCCTTTATACCTATTGCGCTTGATATAAGATGCATCTTCAATTCGTGGTCAGAGTTTTCCATTGATTTTTATGGAATAATCTTGCCCAAAAATTGAGAATTTTATAAAATTTATTTTCATAAATTAAAAACTAAAGAGACAAACAATTTTTTGATAAAACTTTAATATTGTCAGTTAATATGAAGCACATGAAGTTGTGGAGAAAGTAAATTGTGCTCTCCTGTACTAAACAGGATTTTGTGTTACAAAAGAATTTCTAAAAAAGAAACTATGTTAATTGTCATTAAATGTTCACCTCAAAAGGTCGTATAATTTTATATTAAAATGAGATAGCTTTGTCCCTTACCCAACATAAGTGTATAAATTGTGCATCTGTTTTTTTATTGTTTTCCATTATTTTGATGTGATTTCAACAAAATTTTTTAATATCTTAATGGCAAAAGAAAGTTGTTAATTTTTGGAAATTAGCTATTATAGAATTTAGCTATTATATATTGTACCATATTAATAAAATGCCTTAGATATCAGAAGTTTATAATGAAAGATTTAAAGGCATAAGACATCATTATTATTTTTAAAAAATACTGGGCTAGCCGCGAGATAGAGAAGATAGATAGAGAGGTTGTATCAATATTAACCTTCCTTAACCCAACCTAACCTTTCACATTACTGAAAGACTAGTTTTGTAAAGAAGTTAATTATTTTCCAAGTAACACCAAAAAACAAGCATTTGCTTACTAATTTGGGCCCTAGTAATCAGTGATGTACTATATAGAAGCAACGAATCAACTATTGAATTTTGTACCATTTTAAAATGTTGTATTTCAAAGAGTATTGTTCAGAATGTTGAAATACTGAGCATAATATCTCAAAAAGAATGATACATTTTTCCTCAAACAAGCAATTGACAAATTGTATAACTGAATTAAACAAATTATGTTGAGCAGAATTATGTGAAATCACAAGGATAATTAATTTTCTATTTTAATTTTAGTCAGCTTGAATTGTAGCCTTTTGCATTTCTCGCAAACTGAGAAATGAAAATCAATTTTCTGTTCATTTGTTGTTTTTTTCTCTGTTCATGTCATTACGACCATTACTGTTCCACACAATTTTTCTTGCACTAAATGTAAAATAAAACATCAAAAGAGTGTACTGATGTGACAGTACCTTTTTAACAATTTTTTTACCATAATTCTTTGATTGAAATCCTATTGAAATTAGTTCCAAGTATAATATTATGACTGTTTCTTCTCTCCCAATTTTTTTTCCCTACACTTTACCATTATTAAATGCAAATGTCGTCTACATACTTCCATCTTCAATATCTTCCATGTCTTAACCAGTAGGACTTCAATAATCTGGATTTATTTTTTTGTCTGCTCCCATTCCAGACTATCAGTTGTCAAGGTTTAGAAAATTAGCTAATAACAGGGGGCTAACTAATAACAATGTAAAAGAACTTAAGAAAATCACTTTGATAATTACAGAAGTGAGGTGAATGAATAAAACCATTAATGTAGTAAGGGTTTGAATGATCATATTGTTCTTGTAAATATTGGAGTAAATGAGCTGTAATTATACATGTGAGAAGTCATTGTTGGGGGGGAAAAGATTGAGGTATCCAATCCAAGGATTTGGCAAGTTCCTCCTAAATTACATGTAAGCTTAAATTGTCAGTAGTAAGGTTATTTTTTATCTGCGTATTATATAGTTGTCTGCTATCAATAGTTGACATGTCTTTTAAATAAATATGTACATATGTATAATATTCATTTTATGTGCTTCTCCCCCCCCCCCCTCAGAATCTAATCTAGATTATCAATGTACCAGATTTTGTATTTCCAAATTACTGTTCTTTAATTGGACTGGTTGTCCTTAATTTAGAATGGAAAACTATAATTATAATTCAAAGGTTGTGTTTTAAATTCTAAGAAATGAATCTGCCACTGCAAACAATAGGTGTTGTGGAACATATTTTGTCTCTTTTGAAGTTAAATAGATTCCCTTGTGAAACCATGCTACTGCTTGCTCCTTTAAATTAATGTTAAAAAAATTATGTTGAAAACTATTGTAAAAGTGTCAGATGTACATTTTTATGGAGTCCTGTTTCCCCTTTCTCTCATTCTATCATTTCTTTTATTTGTATGTTCATTATTCATCACAATTATCACTTTCTTAATCATGTCAATTTTCTTGGAGTTAACCTCTGTTACAAGGTTAAAGATCTTAGATTGCCTCGGAACATTATCCCCAAAGAATACTTTCTATTTTTACATTGAAGGTGTGTGTGTTCCTTCACCTTATCAGTTTTTTTATTACTATTTGAAACATTTGCGTATCTCATATGTTGCAAGCATTACCTTTTGCTCTCACAAATATGCCTTGTAGCCTTCCTGTATCACTTTGAGAGGAAGCCATTGCCCAAGACTGAGCTTCGCAAGGTCCACAACAGTTCAGTTTGCCTGCATATCTGTTAAGGCTGAAATGACAATGCTGATGGATTACTGCTGCCCAGTATCACTTGGGTACTATTGACTCAGTCTTGGAAGCATATTTGTATTCTCTGCCACAATAGCTTTTGTGTAGTGTGAATGTAATTAAAACTTAATATCTTCTTTTCATACTTGACATTTAGGAGATTCTAAGTGCTTTGGAATTTCCTTTTCAACTTCCTGGTTATCTTGG